GGACACAGTACTCCAGATGGGGACTCACTAGGGCAGAGTAGAGGGGGAGAAGAACCTCCCTCAACCTGCTGGCCACACTCTTCTTAATGTACCCCAGGATCCCATTGGCCTTCTTTGCAGCCAGGGTACACTGCTGGCTCATGGTCAACTTGTTGTCCACCAGCACACCCAGGTCTCTCTCTGCAGAGCTGCTCTCCAGCAGGTCAGCCCCAGGCCTGTACTTGTGCATGGGGTTATTTCTCCCCAGGTGCAGCACCCTGCACTTGCCCTTGTTGAACTGTTTCAACAATCAGCAACAACCAGTCCCTCATACCTGCCCTACAACAACTCCTCCTGCAGCTGATGAAGCCACCAGTGCAATCTGCAATTTGGTAATCAGTGGCATAAATGCAACTAACCTACTAATCCAGACTGACAGTTTTTATCCTGGAATGATGTTTTCACTAGCAACATCACCAGAGAGACCGAATCAAACTGGACATGATGAGAAGTGTTGGCTTCGAGCCAGGACAAGAGATATAGGGGGAGAACACCTTGCCAATGCGTGTGTTGGCTGCTGCAAGGGCACACATCCTTTCTGGGGAGCTATCACTCTGACACCTTGTGTGAGCACTCAGATTAACCATTAAATGCAGTCTTAAATAAATACAGATTAAAGGACAGGGCTTCTTTGATGGTGAAGTCATTTGGTCTCTCTCCTTGAAGGAGAGTTGCTATACAAATAGGTTTACCTCTGAATACCTGCTACACAGTGTTTCCCTTCAAATGTCAGTCCAAACCCAGTGTTACATTACACCATTGGGAAGTTTGAAGACTTCTCAGGAATTGTGGCTTGTGTTTAATCCATACATTATGTGTCTATTATACATACTGTTCTTCGAGACATCACATTTCACAAATTGCCCATCCACATCCTCAGGCCTGCAACAGAGGAAGCACACAGCTGATACCTTAATGTGCCTTTCATTTATACCCCACAGCTGCCCAACTCTGAGGAGCAGAGCTTAGCTCCTCCACAGCGCCAGGCTCTCAGGAAACGTTTCCCCCTGCTCCAAAGCATGCAAGGGACCTCAGC